GGAAACCAAATGTATATATCACAACTATTTGCCCAGCATGTGAACTGCAAGAAGAGACACTAGGACATCTTTTTGAATGCCCAGCCACTAGGGAAACTCAGAAGAACTTATGGTAAAAGGCAAACAAAAAGATCAAGAAACTTATCAGTAAAAAAATAAAAGACAAAAAAGAAGTTCAACCTAATATAAGTGGCTGGATGGACAAATGTTAGAAGAGATCCAGAAATTTGACAGGGACCTTTTCAATATTATCTATGGATATATGGAAGAAAGCAAGATCGTCTTCTTGAAAAAGTATCTTAAAGAGCAGTTCAAGATCCCACCAGAACATACACAGGGTATAATCGATAAATTTTGTCAAAAGATGAGAGCAAACTTTAAAAAGGAGATCTGGAATACTTGCTGTACCAAAGTTATAAAATTGGAAAAGAAGCAAAATATTACAGAAGAGGACAAAAGAAACAAGAGGCCCAAGTCCAGACCTGACGAACAGACTGAACAAGACTAAAAAGAATTGCCACTACCTCCAGAGAACTCAAACCTGAAGGACATTAAAGAAATAGAAGAAAAGAAGTATACAGCAATTATCAAGGATTGAGTTTGCTATGGAATTAAGTGGTTTGGCTTTTAATTGCAGACAGAACTTAAAATGATCTACAGTAATGACCTGTAGACAATGATTTTATTAATTAGAGAAATTATCTAAATTAGTAAAGGAGCAAAATATCATTCTCTAGGTTGCAATTAGAGAAATAGTTTTTTTAACAACGAGTGAGTCAGTATGTAAAAGTTGCAACAATTTGTAAATACTTAATATATATACAATAAAGATATACCATACTAACCTGCTTGTGAGTTAAAAAATATATATATATATATATATTAAAAGCTTTTACTGTTTTATCTCCTTTAATTCCTCAAATGAAACATAATTGTTGTTTTGCATATATTTTAAATTTGGTGGGTAATACTTGGATAGAATTTAATGATTTTAAACCATTAGAAATTACTATTCAAAATATTAAACCATCCTTTGTTCAAAATAATTCTCACAAAAAAAGATGGATTTCTTTTTTAAATTCATTTTTCTTTTTTGATAATTCAACTTTACCTCCTTTATCTACAAAAACTAGATAGAATTCTTGATTTAATTTTGTTTTTTTTTAATAAAAAAACATTTACATTATTTGAAAGTTTTTTTTCTTCAAGAAGAAAATATAAATAATAAAAGCAAGGCAGTTAAAGAATTAATATCAATGTTTAATAATTTAACAAATACTTTTATATTTGAAATTTTAACAATATTTATTGCATTTAATGCAAAAAGTTAAGTTATTTATATTATAATTTTAAATAAATAATTAATTAATTAACTAATAATTATTTTTTTATTATTATAGTCTTTATAATAGTTTAGAATTTTTTAAAATTAATAATAAATCTATAGCACATTTTGTGTTTACAAAATTACATTTACTTGAATCTCATTTACAATCAGGTACAATTCAATCTCAAATTAGTAGTGAAATAAATATTAAATTTAATTTTTTAAATATAGATTCATCAATATTTCAAGAAATATTTTACAAAGTTTTTCAGTCAGTATTGGATAAGTTTAAAAAATATATTGACCATTATTCTGTATAACCATTATTTAAAGCTATTCAATGTTTTAATTCTCAATTTATGCAAGTTAGTCAAGCAAGATATAATATTCAAAGATATAGTGAAATCAAAGAATTTAAAAATCCTAGTAGCATTATTTTATTTAAATGGGGAATTTATTATGAATTAAATGAAGATTTTGAAGAAGATAATGAATTAGATTTAGATAAATACTGAAATGATAAAAAAAATCATCTTCCAAATTTGTCTAAAATATTATTAATGTATATTTGACTTCCAGTATCGGGAGTTGATGTAGAAAGAAGTTTTTAATCTTATAGAAATATTCTTAGCAATAAATGTTGTTCATTATCGGAGGAATCAATTTTCATTTTAAATTTTTTATATTATAATAAGGATTAATAAATATAATAAAATTTTCTCCTTTTTTTTTCACATTTTTTTTTTTACATTTTTTTAACCTTTTACATTTTTTTACATTTTTTCGGGTATATTTCGGCATATACCGCACGCATATTTTTGATTGCCAACGCATATATGCGACCGCCCTAATGTACAGTATATAAAGTACGTATATTCCATCTTTCTTATGGATCAAAACTAAATTTAAGACCAAACCTCTTGCCGTTTGCTATTGAGCATGATTTTAATAATTTAATTTTCGTTCCATTAATGTTTGAGATTTCAAAAGTGAGAAATTAGTTTAACTCCATGTTAAATAATCCATTTATTCCTTAAAAAAAAATTCTTCCAAATCTATGAATATTTTTTTGATTTCTTAACTTTTTCTCGGACTAACGTGTCGAAAAATCCTGCCGTTAATTATTTTCTAACTATCGGTAAAAATTTTGTTGGCAAGTTCAAAAAAGAAAGCATTTATGTATCAGAGATTTTAGTAAAGCTTGCTTTATTAGCCACCTCTTCCTGAATTCGTCAAAAGGCTTGTTACTAGTCCCTTTATAAATAATTGAATAAAATTTAGCCTTCCATAAACCCCTTGTAATTAAGGATATCCTCACAGGAACTTTAAAACTGCGTAAAATAAATTTTCATATAGAATCAGAACCTTTAAAATTTCTATCAGATCAAGATCAAGTGAAGTTTACGATTCCGCGACTTCTGTTTCAAAGAATCTGTTATCAATGTCATCACTGATATGCGACAATATCTCTTAAGGGCGGTTTCAAGGAATATTCATCAGTCATACCCGTGTCTTTCATCACAATTCTATTAATGTCAATTATGAGGTCGACTTCATCTATAACGTTATTTCCCGAAGCATCAGGATTTCTTGTTAAAATCAAAAGTGGCACCCAATCGTTGACGGTGTAATTGGACTTACAATTAAATTCGGTGCATTAAATTTAGGGTTACTTACAATATAACTGTATTTGTATACAAGCTTGAATAATATCCG